AATTGTTTGATTAGGGATCTGATGATTGATTTGTGATGTTTTTCGATTTGATTGTTAGGCGATATGTGTAGATTCGATTAGGTTGTGATTTCATCGGAACTATAGGGTTGATTTGAGTTTTTGGTTCTGTAGTGAGGTCTTTCTTCTGATTTTTGATCGATGTGAGTGTTATGGCTCCAAGTAGGTATATTTGAGAACAGTATGAAGCATCTGTGTGCAAGTAAAACTCTAGAGAAAGCATTGCTCATGGTTCTGAGTTTGGATGTAAGACTAAAAATCTGAGTTTTAGTGATGAGAGTCTCAGCTAGATGATCATTCTTAGTCTCTGTAGCTTGATTTTCAACTACTCGATTTGAGATGATGAGGATCGTAAGTGTTTCATGAAGCATTGATCATTACTTAGTCTTTCTCTTAGCAACAGAATTGTATAAGTTCTTAGTTCATAAACCCATCAATTTTCACATGTTCTATTAGGGGGGGGGGGTTTGGCTGTATGTTATTCTGTTTCTAACTCTAGATAATCTTCACTGCTTAGGATTGTTTAGTTGTTAATGGATCTTCGAATATCGAATGCAGATATGCTCAACACTTCAAGGAGCAGGAGAAATTGGAGCACAGGTTTTGAAACATGAAGACACAACTCCTTTTCCATTACTTTGTTTAAGGCGTTTTCTTTATAAGTACAACTCAAACCAAAGTTCTGAGTCAGTTCTCTGGAAATCTATTACCGCGTTTGTTAAATAAATGTTCCGATGTTCTCTACCGTGGATAATCTTCCCTGGGTGAAATTACTGAGGTGCTTTTAGCCTTCTTTGCTACTGCCTTTTCTTTTAAACTTCTGTTGTAATCTAACGGGTTACGCGAGTTCTTAAGTTTCGGAATAGAACATGTGTTTGTCTTTCCAGAGATTTGAGGGAGACAAGTTTGGCATTGATGGTAGCTGCAAAATCATTGGGTTAACAGTGAAAAACCAAAAAACACAATCATGTGTTTTTGAGGTATAGGTGAAAAAATCATCAAAAGCCAATACTACTAATGTCAC